TCCATATCGATATCCACCATCATATGCGTTTGTCCATATTTCTTTATCAATGAGGCTGATGTAATCGTATCCTTCCTCGTTCTTCGCCCGTAAATCTTGAAGCATGGATTCAAATGTTTGAGGTAGTAGTTCATAACCTGAGAAAAAAATGTATTACTTACTAACTTTGTTTCTTTAAAAAAAGGAAATGATCGAAAGAAAAAAAACTACAACAGTTTCACTTACCCATGCGCACAAGTAATTGGCGCTCATCATTCTTCTTGAACCTTCCATGGTAGTTCGCATCAATGTGTTGGATACAATACCTATGTTGGAAAAAGGGTGGTTTCCACATTGGACCCAAAGACTCCATTGCTGCTTTGATCCCAGCTCCGCGATCTAAAATGACACAGATTTTTTCCCTCGTGATAACATGTGAACTTAAGTTTCAGAGGAAAAAAGCCCAAGAATATGTATCTTCTCCTTCAACAAGAGCAAAAACAACTGGAAGAATATTGTGATTACTATCTTGGACAACTGCCAATAGTAAAACTTGTTTGTATTTTCCATACAAAAAAGTCTCGTCGATCTGGATCACAAGCTTGCAGTATTTGACAACATGAATGCACTATGGGTAAGTCCAAAAAACCCGGTAGAATTGGTATCGATCGCGAAGAACTCGATCATTATGGTATGCATGGAAGGTTTAGAAGTCCACAATTGTCCCAAGATTCAACCTCCATACCACCCTAAACCAACTTGGAAGTTTGTTATAAGATGCATCCCATTCGCCGTGAAGTTTTTTAATGGCATTCGGCTTTGCCTTCCATGTTTTTTTGTACGAGACGGAATACCCATACTACGATTGTATAACTGAAATCGACACATCAATAGCTATAAGTGAGCTTGCTTTTACCATGGGCATGATGGCTTGGTAGATCACTTCAAAGTCCAAGTTTGGATGATCTTGGTTGATCCTTCCAGAACAACATGTGTGAGGACCGTTGTATACCGTTAGTTCACATATACTGTTTTTCCTCTTCCTCTTCGATACGCGAACCATCCAATTGCATCCGTTTTCAAATCGGGCACAGTGGCATACATATTTTTCTGTCGTAGAGCGGGCGACTTTGGATTGAACAAAATTACGGATATTATAATTTTTTATAGCCATCGTCGCTTCTTCTTTGCTTGAAAACTCCATGCCTAAAGATAACTCACCATTATTTATTGATGAGTAAAATCCATAGCCACCAAGATGAGTTATATCCAGAAATTTTGACCCGTACATTGCACCATAGTCAGCTTCATACATGTGTGTTAGAGGATCAGTTTATGTCACATTTGAGGGAACTTCATCTACATCATCATCGGAGTTGAGTTGCGGTGATTCTGGTGGAGATGATGGTTCCTCCATGCTCTCCACGTTTAGGTCGAAGAACTTACTGCTTGCATGCCTTCCCCTTGAACTAGAAGGCATATCGACATTGAGATCGAAAAAGCTCACAGTCGAATGCCTCCCCTGGAGCTTGAAGCCATTGTGTCAAATGGAAACTGCACAGATTGTTGTGTCGAGAGCATCTCCATATTAAGGTCAAAGAAATTGACAGATGAATGTCTTCCCCTTGAATTGGACGCGATGTTGTCATACTGATTGTTCGTGGACCCACCTCGGTACAGATCGTAAGGAGTTGCTGATGAATGTCTCCCCATTGAAGTTGATGGGATGACACCATGATGCGGATTTCCTATTATGGCATTAAAATCATTACACATTACTGTAGTTGGGCTGTCAACTTGATCAGCTTGTTCAGCTAGCCCATAGTGGGAGCTTAATGACAGACCCTGAATAACACGTACTTCAATAAACTTTGCATACATCTCCGTATCGACGTCTGAATAATTATTTTGAGAATCAACCATCATTTCAACATCATCATTATTCGATAGTTCTAACGCTGTATAACAATGATGCTGGAAATCTGTACTGAAGCGTCAACATTCTTCTAGTACTTACAACATGAACCTTCCTTGAAATCTTTGTTATTAGCTCCTCAAGAGTTATGTTTCTCTTGAAGGATATTTTAACATAATGATTTGATACGAAAATGACACCGGTTTCATCTTCTCAAATTTCTCCATCATAATAAACAATAGTTGAAATTCGCGCCATTCTTAGAGTTTGAAAGTGAGACAATCTTATATCTGTAAAAAAAACATGAAACAAGCCTAATTAAATAAATAATATATGAATTAAAATATAACACAATAAAATTTGTACACATAAACGTAAATAATTTAAATAATATAATTTTATATTATTACCGTATCGGCAAAAATATTTCGACGTATGCTCCCGCTTTTCAATTTTACAACCACAAAAATTAATTGAAAACAATTAGTACAATATTTTTTTCAAATAATCATATATAATTATAAAAAGTATTAAAAAATTACCTTATAACGAAAGATCGAACGAACTTCTGAATCAAATATAGGAGGATTTTCGGGTGTTATTTACTGATTGAGAGGATTATTGTATTAGTTTTTCTATTGAGAGGGAGTTGTGAGAAAATTTACGGAGGAGAGGGGTATTTATAGTCGAGAGGAGATACTTTAAACCCGAGAAGTGCGGATGCAATTATACAAGACGCGGCCCATACACCGCGTCATTCTAAGGCATGTCATAATTGCAAGAAGACGCGGCCAATGCACTGCGCTATACCCCTACGTGACAGAAGGCGTGACCCATGCACCACGCCTTACCCAGCATGTTGTCATGTTAGCATAAGGCGCGGTGCATGTCTTACCCCACGTGGCGCCACATCAGCGTAAGACGCGGTGTATGGATCACGCCCTCCTTCGAAGTGTGTTAGATCAGAAAAAAAAAATGAAAGAGTGTCTAACAGGAAAATAAAGTTTTAAACGGTGATTTTTGGGGAAAATCGCCCTTTAAATCACGTGAAATTATTACAAGGGATATTGGAAAGAAGTAGCGGCGGCTGGAAGGCCAAACCAACAAGAAGATATTGAATTTATGTACTTACCATACAATTTCTTTTTAAAACCCCCCACATGTTCCACGTGTTTAAATTGGAAGAAAAAAATCTTCAATAAACTGTTTCTTTTTTTATTGGACAAAATATATCTTCCGCCTTATAATTATTATTACATTACACAGAGGTCACTTTTTCTAAAAAATTTAATTTAGTTAGAAAATAAAAATACTATTATAGAAAATCACTAACTATTAAATATTAGACGTAACAGTGATGCGGCACAGTATAATAACAATTTCAATTCCTAAAATCTTTAAATTTTATCAATTTCTAATTAAAATAATTCAATTAATTTAATCTTTCTTCTTTTTTAGTTTTATGCTCTTTTTAAAACTATTAAATCTTTTTAAATATTAGACGTAACAGTGATGCGGCACAGTATAATAACAATTTAGTCTTTCTTCTTTTTAAGTTTTATGTTCTTCTCCCATAAATGCTACATCACTTATCCGGTATAATAACAATTTAAGAATTACTACTTTATGGTAGAATGTAAATATAGAATATGAATGACTCATATTTGACTGTATCGCAAAATAGATTAAATTGATAAAAAAAATTAAATGGTTAGATTTATTGAACTATTTTAAATTATGATCAACTTGATAAATTTTATAAATTTTAAGAATTAAAATTATTATTATATCATATCACATTAAAAATATGTTTAAATTTTAGTAAACTACATCAGATGTCACTTAATATTAAGTGGTGTATTGCTTGTACCATTTAACTTTCAATTTCTCCAATTATAGCACTAAACTTTGATTTTGGTTTCAATTATGCCACTGGGCCGTTAAATTTTAACGATGCAATGACATGAACGATTCTATCCATCATTCTGATAATGTATACAAAATAGCGTCATTTTGCCGCTATTATTAAAGCCCAAAATGACATTATTTTTGGCATTGGACATCAAAGGTGTATCGGTTTTACCACTTAATTTCAACAAAAAAAAAATCAGTTTTCGGCACTAAACTTTTTTTATCATTGTTTGTAGCCAACTGTCGACCATCATTGGTATTCCTTCGCAACAACATCAGTATGCAAGCATTTGCATTTCACTATTCTTTCTTCTCTTAGGATTGGTTTTCCACAAAACTAACAAAATCAACAAAAATCCATTTAAAGGTTCAACATGTTAACACTTTGATTTCCTTAAATGACTGTTCGGTGAGACTATTTTTGAGATATATTGTTTGTCTTCTCGAAATAATGCTTCTTACGTTCATATTTTCAAACAAACACCGCAAGCTTTCAAATTCAAGAAAGCCCTCAACCACTAAAAATAATGGATTTTTTTTTGCTTAATTTAATCAAATTTATGTGTGATTCGTGGAAAATCAATCCTAGAAAAAGAAAAGAATGAAATATGAGTGTATTTGTACCAAACTATGGCGAAAGATGATCAATGACAAACAATGATTGGTTGTCGCCGAATATCGAAAAGTTACAAAGTGATATGTTTAAAATTTTAGTGGCAAACCCGATACACCCTTAAAGTTCAATGCCTAAAACGATGTCGTATTAGTCATCAATAACTACACCAAAACGATGTCATTTTGTCCATGTCATCACATTGTTTGGATTTTAACAGCTCAGTGGCACAATTGAAGTCAAAACCAAAGTTTGTTACTATAATTGGAGAAATTAAAAGTTTAGTGATATAAACGATATACTACCTAAATCTCAATTATATCTAATTGTAATTTACCCTTTAAATTTTAACTATAAACAAATATTTATAATAATATTTTAATTTAGATTTGCTTTCAAAACATCGGTGCCCACCTCAACGCAATCTCACATACGCATTCTCCCCTTTATATATTCTCATTTTTTTCACCTTCCCCTCTATAATATTATAATTTTCTTCTTCATCAGGGAAAGAAAGCTAATAGAAAAAGTCAATTTTCTTCGTTGATTATCCTCATCATATAGTATATATATATATATATATATATATATATATGCAGATGAGACGAAACTGCAACTTGGAACTTCGGCTCCTTCCTTCTGGTTTTTCCGGCCACCGTCGTGACATGTATGTACTTCCCTTTCCATGGCGTTGGAATACATTGGGTGCAATGAATAATATTATCTGCGACTGACTTTGTTTTTAATGATTGAATGAAGGGTGGAAGGAAGCAGCGAAAGCCCAGAAAATCAACACCAACAGCTGACGATTTTCTACAATGGAAGAGTTTGCGTTTGTGATGTTACAGAGCTCCAGGTATTTCATTTTTAGGTTAATTAGGAGTGAAAAGAATTTATAAAATTTTAAAATATGTTATTAATAGAAAATATAACGAAAATATTTGATTTATTTTTAACAATGACTACCATCACCAATCCCCTTCATTCATGGATGATGTTAAACGGATGTAATGGTTTGTTTTGGTTAATGATAAAGATTTGTGCAGGCAAGAGCCATTCTGATGATTGTTAACCGAGAAACGGCTCCTGCGTCGGGACGGGAACCGGCTTCACCGATGTTACAATCTCCGATAAAAAGCCCAAGTACCGGACTTCCCACCGACATTAAGAGATCGCTTCAACGGTTCCTCCAAAAACGAAAGAATCGGATCCAAGCTACCTCTCCTTACCATTAATATTTGGTGCAATAGAAATAATGTGTCTTTTTTTGGGTAGAAATCATTACTAGTAATGATTCCATTGAAGGAGATTGCCCATGGAGGCTTTCTTTTGTAAATGTGTGTATGAAATATGGTAATAGCTAGCTTCAAGACCATGATGAATTTTAAATTTTGGGTAAAGAACGAAAATGGTCCTCAATTATAGGATTAAACTTTATTAATTCTCTCGATTATTAAAAGTTACAAAATGATCATTCGATTATAGTGTTGCTTTGTTGAGTCCCTTGACTATTAAAAATTATAAAATGGTCACCCGACTATTCATTAAGTTTGAAACTCGTCCTTCTCCGTTAAAAAATATATGATATTCTAAGATGAACATTAACTTGTTGACTGTGACATGATAAAATTTGATCTCAAAATTTTAAACGACTATAATATCTCAGTCATCATGTTAACATACAACTTAAATAACCATCAATTTTTTAACAGAAAATGATGAGTCTGAAATATAATGAATAGTTGAGTGATCATTTTCTAACTTTTAATAGTCTAGGGACTCAACAAAACAACACTCCATAGTTGAATAGTTGAAGGATTATTTTATAACTTTTAATAGTCGATTGACTTAATAAATTGTACCCTAAACTCGGAGGACCATTTGTATTTACCCTTATTTTATAGACTTTGGATCTCTACTGTTCCCATGAGTTTCAAATGTGACTTCAGTAAACTGCTGACTTTTAGTGTTAACCAAATTATTCAAGCAGGATTAAAAGCTTATTTATTGATATTTTGACCATTTCTATTTTGATAGGAATAATTCAATTCAATTTTTAAATATTTTATAATTTGATTCATTACAAATTTCATTTTTTTATCTTTTGAGATTTGAAAAAGTTAATTCATATTTTAAGTTATTATATTTTGGATCATTATATTTTATAAAAATTTAAAAAAAAATAGTTATTAGTTAATATAAAATTTAAACGGGTGATTTTTAAAATTTTACTGTATATAAATTCAATTCTAATCTCTTTTATTTATTGTATTTATCTACAACGACGAAATTAGAAATTTAATTTAAGAGAACAAAGTATAATTAATAATAAAAAAATAGAGATAAAATAAATAAATTAAAATTTAAAGAGCTAAATAAATAATTGTCTCTATATTCTTTAATGATTAAAAAAATTGTTTTGGGGAAAGGGGGCAATGGCCCCCAAGCTCCTAGATAGTTCCGTTACTCTTTATTGATAGAAAAGGGACAGTGATAGTAATCTAGTTTAAGCTTGTAAAAATAACCAAAAATTAAACGAATAGTTTGTGAACCTTTCAGTGAGAAGTTCGTTTACGTTCGATTATTTATTAAACGAAAGAATATGAATAATATTTTATATTCGTTTAATTAAATGAACAAACATGAACAAAAGATTCGTTCATTCATTTACGTTCTTGAACGTTCGATAATCCGTCCGTTTATGTTCATTCATTTATGTTCGTTTGTTTATATTCGTTTATGCCCGTTCATTTATGTTTTCCGGTCCCGTTTGAAATATAAAGATTTAAAAATCTTAAAACCCATTAATATTTTTAAACTCAATTAATTTTAAACCCAAATAAAAGTAATCAAATCAATTAAAGAAAATATAAATCCTAAAATTATTTGAAAATAAAAAAAACTCTTCTCAAATATAAATCCAATTAATTTTATGTTCGTTCGTTTATATCCGTTTACGTCATTTATTTGTGTTTGTTTATCATTTAAACGAATTAACATGAAAGAACACGAACAAGCTAAATTTCTTAATGAACGAACACGAACAAGCTAAATTTCTTAATGAACGAACATGAACAAGAATTTTTGTTCATTTAGTTGTTCGTGTTCGTTCGTTTTTTCGGTTAAAGTTAACAAACAAACATGAGCATACCTTCATTCTTGTTCGTTTGGTTCATTTATAGGCCTAATCTAATTGTTTGAATTAAATTTAAGTCCAGGTAATTTAAGTCTAAATTATATTCAATTTAAGTATAATTTAATTTAAATTAAATATGATTTCAATTTAGTTTGAGTCTATGATAATTTGGAAAATCAAGTATTAGATAATCATTACTGAATCATGTCCACATCCAATCGATCAATTTTTGGGTCAATCAACCTTTGTATCTTCATATCATTTTCAAGTTGAGATGTATACGAGTCTAATCAAACATACATAAAATTAATGATATATTCTTAAAATATATATATATTTTTATTTGTCAATCTTATCATTTAGGTATAATTTCATCTCAATCATTTAACATTTTGAATTTAACATCATCACTAAGAAATTCAATATAATTAAGTTTTGTAACATCCCAAAATACGGGTTAGTGACTAAATTATAAAACTTCAGAATTTGGTGATTAAAGTAGGATGATTGAATAGTTTAATGATTTATATGGAATGATTGTTAGTAATTATTAAGGGAATTGAAGGGAAAAATGGTTATTTGACCAATAAATAAATTAAAAGGTGATAAGGATGAGATATATGCACGTGAGAAATGAGGGGGAGAGGAAACAAAGTTTCCAGAGTTCTCTTCATCATTCTCTTTTCTCTTTATCGTGAACCAAGCTAGAACAAAGGTGAGTTTTCTGATTATTTGGTTATTTGATAAATTAAAGGTTAGGTTTTGATCATTAGATGATAACTAAGCTTAAGGAAAGCTTAGATTATCTTAAAACAATAAGAAGAATAGTACATGAAGAATTAAATAAAGGAAGTAGAAAAGTGAAATCTTTGATTAGAGTTCATAATAAGAATTAGAAGTGGGATTTGACTTGTCATCAAGCTAATCAAGGAATAGGAAGTGTTAGAATTAGATTAAGAACATGTTGAAAGTTGAGTGAGATTCTTAAATTCTATATGGAGAATTGGGTTTCTAAGTTTTAGAGGTATGGAAGAGATAATAATTAGTTTAAATAAGAGTATGCAAGTTAGGGATATAAAAAGAGGGGAAATATAAAGTGTTGAGAAGATTATGAAGAGAATTTCATGCTAAAATAACATTTCTGGGCTATGTGCATCGATGCACATTCAATATGTACCGATGCATCAAGGATAAATCCCAGAAATTGTTCAAGGTGTATCGATGCACATGAAGTGCATCGATGCACTCCTTTAAAATAAAAACATCGAATGTCATCAGTGAATCGATGCACAAGTAGTGCATCGATGCACCTGCTTAAAATACAAACATCGAATGAGATTTATGCACCGATGCATAGATAGTGCATCGATGTACCCGTCAAGGGATGCATCGATACATGGTGTAGTGCATTGATGCATACCTTCATTAAAGGATAAAAATAACTTTCTTTTTAGCCTAAGGAGTGATAGTTTAGAATATATCAATTAGTATACTGATATGTATCAATGTATTACTATGTAGATTTAGAACGTAATCCTGTTCCGGAACAATCGAAGGATTAGAATCGAGCCAAAGCAAGGCTAAGGTGAGTACATATTATAAGTATGGTACAATGGAATAAGGCTTGTGATAAGTCTAATTCCTATGTTGATTTTCATAGCACAATAGTTATGAACATGTATACATGATAATTGTTATGATACATGCATAAAGTATATATGTTCATATGATTTGATAAATGATATATGTGAATAGATTCAAATGCACTTGTGACATGGTAAGTGATATGAGTTATGGGATCACAAGAGAAACGACATGAATACATGAACATATGAAACATAAGAATAATGCCCATGGTATACGATATGAGAGCTATAGGTATAGTTGGCATGCCAAGAGTCGAGCATTCTACGTGGTCCAGGTCCTTTGGGACATATATGTATCCTTTGGAACATTTACAGAGTCTTTTAAGACAGATTTGGTCCATTGGAATATGTATATGGTTCTTAAGGAGTGGTCATTCGGGACAAATACAGTACATAGGTCCTTCGGGACAATTTCATAGCCCCTAGTGGGACCCCATACGAGCTGTGGTGACAGCAACAATGCACAACCTCAATTTACTCAAATACCTTGAGTTCTCAAAAATGTTCATGGGCCTATAAAAGGTTATCAAAGGTAATTGTATTGTTATAGTTATATGTTACCATATTATTATTGTTTACATTGAATTGTATATAACCTGATTGAATGGATAGATTGCATGTTCACTGTAACACCCCCAACCCGTATCCGACCCGGATACGAGTCCGAAGTGTCACATTGACTTTTTAAACCTTGACTCTTAAGAAAAATCCCGAGAAATTTAAAACTTTATTTAAAACAAAATACAGACTTTATCAGAGTGCTCGTACTTAATGACTTATTACATGCCAACACTTTATACATAACCAAAAACATACTTTGTCAAATATTTCTGATCTGATCTTTTGATAAGGAAAACTGACCTGTCTTGCCCCGCATCACTCCTTACTCTTCTCGAAACCTACGTGTGAAACAATCACACGCTAAGTCGAAGACTTAGTGAGGCATAACAACTTATAATGCACTTTAAAACCTATATTGATACATGCATGTTCTATTCTATCATGTTACATCAATTTCATGCATTTTTCATATCGTATAAAATCATATCAGATTAATTACAGAAAATAAATGCATACACATACTTCATCATTAACAGTTTATCATATAATCACATACTATTTCAATCAAACACTATGCACACGCAACATCATATCATTTCTATAGCATTTATCATACCATTAACTTATATTTGTTCATATCTCTGGATTAGCCCATGTACATATGTGAGAACTATCGATATGTGAGTCTATAGAGGTTGTGCACTATGCTGTCACCACAGCTCGTATAAATGCACCGAAGTGCCCCGTAGAATTGCACTGTAGTGCCATATAATGATGTCCATAAGGACCAAATAGAATTATTTAAGAATCATATACATATGCTAGGGATCAAGTATGTGTCTTTCCAGACTTCACACAGGTTCCAAAGAATATACATATGTCCCTAAGAACCGC